AGTGAACTACCTGAGGGAAGTTGATCTGTATCATAAATTGTAACTGTGAATTGTGACTAACAAATTGCCTGCCTTTAAATTTAGTGCTATTACTGTTTCTGTTTTTAAATGACAATGAAATGAATATATTCTTTTGAAATAAAACTCATTTTGACTCTGTACTTACAATGTTTACTAATGCAGATTTGTTCTCGTCACTATATGGCTGGAATAATGCCGATGTGGCGTAAAGCCCAACTCAACTCAACTCAACTCGTGCACGCAGCGTTTGTGATTGCGTTCTTGCTTTTGCGTGCGCGATTTTGCTTGTGTGAACTTTAGTGTTTTTGTGTGTGCATGAGTTTTGTTTGTATGTGCGATTTTGTTTGATTCTGCAAATGAATATGTGTACGTGAGTTGGAGAGTGCTTGCGTTTGTGAGCACGATTTTAAGCTCAGTGCTTGTTATCGAAATGGTCAGTCCAAATGGACTGCTAGGTAATGTCTATCAAACTTTATTTGTGTGTTTGTTTGCGCCTTAACAGGCGCATTCGTACTTGTGTGCATTTGTGAGTGCCTCTGTGTATTGTGTGCGTTTGATATGCATATATTTTTGTGAATGGTAGGACAGCTGAAGCCATGAATAATTTCGCTTCAGTCAATGTCAGAGGTAAGGGTCATAAGGCTCCACGCTGGGAAATCTGAAGTTTGTTTCGTTATTAACCTTTAAAATTATAACCGAAGTCGCTTAGGAATGTCGGCTCTTGGCCGTTGGGCACAAGACAAAAACAATGGCGATGGTTTATGTTGTGGGGTAGCTGACGAACCAATGGGAACAAAAGAAGTCCCATTAAAAGGAATTGACTTGTTTGAAGACTTAACAACACTGTAGTGTGAAGGTTTCCCAGAAGCTTGTGTTGTGATTAGAATTCTTCTCCCTATCCCCAACGATTTCTATTCAAGTCCTTTAACCGAGCAAGAACATCACCCAGCTGTTTGTTGGTGTTCTGTGATGATGACTGCGTTAGATGCACTTATCTAAGGGAGACCGACTCCTCTTCGACCCGGCGGACTGCAAGCAAAAGCTTGTTGAACTCCATACCAAAGTCGAAGTGGTGTCGCGTATCCTGCTTCAGGTCATCACGAGATCCAACCCAAACCGACTTCGAAACAGACCAGCTGGTGCAGTAGGAGGGAGTGCACCTGATACCTCAATCTTTGAGATCAACTCTCACAGACGACAACTCCACTCAGCATTTACCAAGATGTAACGAAGATGACAGCAACAACACTGTCAACATGAGAAAAACTAAATGTGAGAAAGGAATAACGAATATCAATAGTGGAAGAAACATGACGAGACACGATGTTACTATTTTCCGCAAGAAGCGTGTAAAGAAGAATAAGTCAACAGCGGAAGAGAAACAACGCGAGGAAATACCGGGAACGCTGACAGTAAGAGTTGACGAAGGGAAAGAGAATACATAATGTGCAATAAATTTATCTATTGATTATTATTACACTTGATTCATATTATTAGAATTGTTAATTAAATTACTTTGTAAAAAGACGATATTATGGCCATTTATGGCTAACTTAGCACTGTTCAAACATGAACTGTTAATTATTTAATTGGTTAAAATAGAATTATAGAGACATTACAATTACAATATCACAATTACATTACGTAAAATATACTTGTAGAAATAGAAATATCTGGTTAATAGTATTTGGGTGACAACGATGATAAATTGAAAAAAACGGATGATACTTTTTGAGGGTTTTTTTTTTTTCTTAAAGTGATGAAAAAGCATAAAACAATATCAACAAAGATCATGTAGAATACATATGAATTCAACAAATTACAATTTAAGCGGAAACATGTCCATCATACATGTGCAATATTTGGCTCACAGGGGATAAAGAAATCTAAGTCACTCATGGAAACGGGTCTGCAAGTGGAGTGTTCAGCAAGCACCTGTAACACAGGGCAGTACACAAGTTAACAAGTCTGGAGTCTCATGAAGTGCCCCAAGTACTTTGTACTCTCAGTCAACACAATTATCCGCCTTGAATGCCCATGAGGGCACACAATTACCCCATAGATGAATGTCACATGTGCCCACTCATATACATCTATGTGGGCTCCATTTGAATGAAAATGATGTTGGTGCGTGATGGACCATGTCTTTTAACGCCAACGGCCCCACGCTGGGCGCCAAATAGTAGCCGAGGTCGCTTAGGAATGTCGGGCACAAGACAAAAAGACTGTCGATGATTTGGTGAGTTTATTGATGAGTATGATGTTGTTTCGGAGGTGTTTGAAGAAAGAAAAGACGTTTCCACCTGAGCAACAGCAAATGGAGTAAGAAAAACAATAAGTCAGTTAAATATTGAATTACATTAACTATCACATTGTGCATTATAAATAAGTATCACAGTTCGCCAAGGTAATAAACAAACTCGTTGCAAAAACAAATCAACAAACGTATTGAAAGCACGTGGTCAATACAATGTATATAACGTATTACTGATTAACTGCTTAAAAGTTAAGATTATAAATTAAATATTACTCTCAGCAGTTTTAAATTACAGTTAAGTAATAAAGCACCTTATCATAGAAGTAAAGATGAACTTGAGATAGGCAAATGGCCATACTTGTAGAAAAAGATGTTTCCATCTCAGAAACACAAATTTTCACATTGTACATGTTTTCCATAAAACTCATCATCACATCACTAGCCATAAATGATGAACGGTCCCTTATAGACATGTTTCTCCATCAAACTCATCACCACATCACTAGCCATAAATGATGAACGGTCCCTTATAGACATGTTTCTCCATAAAACACACCACTAGCCATAAATGATGAACGGTCCCTTACAGACATGTTTCTCCATCAAAACCACATCACTAGCCATAAATAATGAACGGTCCCTTATAGACATGTTTCTCCATAAAACCCATTCACCACCTCACTAGCCATAAATGATGAACGGTCCCTTATAGACATGTTTCTCCATCAAACTCATCACCACCTCACTAGCCATAAATGATGAACGGTCCCTTATAGACATGTTTCTCCATCAAACTCATCACCACCTCACTAGCCATAAATGATGAACGGTCCCTTATAGACATGTTTCTCCATCAAACTCATCACCACCTCACTAGCCATAAAATGAACGGATAGAACGTTTCTCCATCAAACTCATCACCACCTCACTAGCCATAAATGAGACGTATAGACATGTTTCTCCATCAACCTCATCACCACCTCACTAGCCATAAATGATGAACGGTCCCATATAGACATGTTTCTCCATCAAACTCATCACCACCTCACTAGCCATAAATGATGAACGGTCCCTTATAGACATGTTTCTCCATAAAACTCATCAAACTCACGGTCCCACAGACATGTTTCTCCACCTCACTACCTCACTATAAATGATGAACGGTCCCTTATAGACATGTTTCTCCATTTCTCTCACTAGCCATAAATGATGAACGGTCCTCACATGTTTCTCCATAAAACTCATCCACCTCACTAGCCATAAATGATGAACGGTCCCTTATAGACATGTTTCTCCATCAAACTCATCACCACCTCACTAGCCATAAATGATGAACGGTCCCTTACAGACATGTTTCTCCATCAAACTCATCACCACCTCACTAGCCATAAATGATGAACGGTCCCTTATAGACATGTTTCTCCATCAAACTCATCACCACCTCACTAGCCATAAATGATGAACGGTCCCATAGACATGTTTCTCCATCAAACTCATATGACGGTCCCTTACAGACATGTTTCTCCATCAAACTCATCACTCACTAGCCATAAATGATGAACGGTCCCTTACAGACATGTTTCTCCATCAAACTCATCACCAATGATGAACGGTCCCTTAAAGACATGTTTCTCCATCAAACTCATCACCACCTCACTAGCCATAAATGATGAACGGTCCCGTATAGACATGTTTCTCCATAAAACTCATCATCACCTCACTAGCCATAAATAATGAACGGTCCCTTATAGACATGTTTCATCAAACTCATCACCACCTCACTAGCCATAAATGAACGGTCCCTTACAGACATGTTTCTCCATCAAACTCATCACCACCTCACTAGCCATAAATGATGAACGGTCCCTTATAGACATGTTTCGTAAACTCATCACCACCTCACTAGCCATAAATGATGAACGGTCCCTTATAGACATGTTTCTCCATCAAACTCATCACCACCTCACTAGCCATAAATGATGAACGGTCCCTTATAGACATGTTTCTCCATCAAACTCATCACCACCTCACTAGCCATAAATGATGAACGGTCCCTTATAGACACGTTTCTCCATCCATAAAACTCATCACCACCTCACTAGCCATAAATGATGAACGGTCCCTTATAGACACGTTTCTCCATAAAACCCATCACCACCTCACTAGCAATAAATGATGAACGGTCCCTTATAGACACGTTTCTCCATAAAAACCCATCACCACCTCACTAGCCATAAATGATGAACGGTCCCTTATAGACTTGTTTCTCCATAAAACTCATCACCACATCACTAGCCATAAATTATAGACAAGAATTGTAACTACAGTAATTTTGAAGAAGCAGCTTTTTGTGATATGTCATACAATCCCCGGAGATCTATATCCAATACAAACCATGCCAGTCAGTAATATTTTACAAGGTTAGACCCATGCAAGTGTATAAAATATACCAAGTCTAGACTACTGCAGTTGCTGAAAATGAAGAAAGTCACCTTTTTATAGAGAGATTCGACTCGGGTGGGAGGCTGGGTAGGAGAATTCTCTACCTCGACGTACCAGTAATATAATTATCACCTTTTCCCCCTATAATTGGTTTTCCTTGTGCAGGTTGAGTATACCTACAACAAAAGCTTTGGGAATGCCGACCATGCTGGCAGTGTTCACGACTAATAACAATGAACGTGTTGCGCAAACGCAACTACAATCACGTGACTTTACTTCCTTGTTTCGGTTTACAGCTTCGTAAGGATTGTGCTTGCAGTTCGACATTTGACACTTGACGCCCTGTACTCTACGTAACTGTAAACAAGCAAACATGTAGAGGTGTAGCAGGCTGACCAACGTACAGTGCATGGATCTACCCGGTGTACATGTTTTGACGTGCTAGCTGTTCCGTTGTTACAGGTACTGTAGGTTGTTCTGTCGACTGTTGGACTGACAGGGTCAGTGGTGCTTCTCTATCTGTTGTTACAGCCAGACAGGATCTAGACATTCGTTAGCTGCATTGTTCAACATGCAACGTTAATTTACAGTGTGGATTGTGGTAAAAAAGTTCGTCTCACACCACACATCTTCTTAGTCTTGTGTAATACTCCCGTACCCCAGTTAGAGAGTACGTACTGCTGGGATATCCTCCATGTAGCCTGCATTATGCTGTTGTGTACAAGGGTTATTGTAGCATGACGCACTACCTGCCTAGTTTCCACCGACGGTGCTCATTGGCGCTGATTATTATAACCCAAGTTGCCCAAATACATGTTACATATTTAACATTAAGCTGTCCATTTTTGTAGTGTTTAAGACATATTTTATTGCTTGCTGTAAGGGTTCAGGCAATTAAATGTAACAGAATTTTATATTTACAGGGCAGCTTGTAACAGACTTGACTCATCTCCACTAAAACAAATGGTTAGTCTTAAATTCTATGGGGTGGTGGGGTAGCCTAGTGGTAAAAGCTTTCGCTCAGGATACCAAGGCCCACGTTCGATTCCTCACATGGGTACAATGTGGGAAGCCCATTTCTAGTGTCCCCTGCCTTGATAAAACCATACTCACTCACTTAAGTTCTGCATCTTAGAATAGCAAAACTAAACTTTATTACACAAATGACACAATATATGTCACTGGTTTGTTAAGTCACATGACCTAGTTTGTGTGGCAAGTTCTAATTGCCACCAAAAATATGTTGTCGTAACTAATACAAACAGCTATTTGTGTCAAGTTGTCATCCTGCACATGCCCATTCAGTGTGTCAAATCCCTTACACCTGACACACTCTACTCTTGATCTATAACAAATGCTACAGTTACCAGGTAGGCTTTAATTCCTAAACCATGCCTTGATCTCCTTCCGTCCTGGACCGCCTCCGTGGTGTAGTGGTTAGAGCGTCCGCCCGGAGAGCAGAAGGTCGCGGGTTCGATCCCCGACCGCGTTTTACCAAAAGACGTTAAAATATGGTACTTGTTGGTCCCTGCCTGGCTCTCGGCATTAATGGGTACAACAAGGACTGGTCGGCTTGGAGTCAGTATAATGTGTCTGAGTGGGGTATTCATGCTTCACTGTGGCATGGTATCTCAGTGGGCTAGCACTATAAAACCAGCTTCAGTCTGGGCTAGTACAAGCAGCCGCACATACACATACACATGCATGCACGTCGTCATATGAGCGAAATATTCTCAAGCCCAATTTCACCTCACCTCACCTTCCGTCCTGATTATCTCTCTGATATGTCAGTACAATAACCATGCTAGTTGGCTTCAGCAAGATGACAGCCAACACCTGCATCATGTTAGTCTTCTTCAGGCATGTAGTTGACATGCCGTGATACTAAAATACTGTCCCAAGCGGCACCAAATTCCAACTCACTCACTCACTCACTCCATTCCTCCTCTTACTCCACGATACCTCCACCACTCACTCACTCACTCCATTCCTCTTGTTACTCTGCCATCCCTCCACTCACTCACTCATCAAAACTACTCACCCAAAACCTTCTCACTCACTCACTCCATTCCTCCTTACTCCACCATACCTCCACCACTCACTCACTCACTCCATTCCTCTTGTTACTCTGCCATCCATCCCCTCACTCACTCATCAAAACCTACTCACCCAAAACCTTCTCACTCACTCACTCACTCCATTCCTCCTCTTACTCCACCATACCTCCACCACTCACTCACTCACTCCATTCCTCTTGTTACTCTGCTATCCCTCCACTCACTCACTCATCAAAACCTACTCCCCCAAAACCTTCTCACTCTCACTCACTTACTCACTCATTCACCCCAAACCCACTCACTCACCCACTGTTTTCTTCTTGCAGTCATCCCATGATGGATGACAAGCACAAGAATATCCTGCGTGTGAATCGCACAAAGTTGTTGGAGGAAATGTATAACTTCAAGAACATCATCGACAAGCTGATAGAGAAGGGAACATTGAACAATAGTCTGAAAGACAACATAATGGTAAGTCTGTCCTGGTGCATGTTCTTATCCATTTTCTGGTCAACGTAGCAGTTTCTTCTTCCTCCCACGTGAAGCTGTCTCAGTGGGATAGGAATAAACTTATCTCAAAGTGGCTTAAAACAAAACTCTCTCAGCAACTCACTCACTCACTCATTCATTTGTGTTAAATAGTATTCTAAAGTGTATGACATACCAATGTCTGAATGACGTTTATTAGGAAACTCTTTCAACAGATTGTGTACATATCAGTATACCCACAGTGAGGAAAGCCATGGTAAATTTGGGGAGGAGGAAGGAAGAGCCACTACCTTTCCATTCAAGTAAAACAACATGACTGAACTTCATTACACATTTACTTTCAGTACGCAGGCAACCCTACTGACATAAAAAGAGAACTGCTGGACTGTTTGCCTCGGAGAGGACCAGGAGCATTCGAAGAGTTTTACGAAGCCCTTATTGAGTCGGACAACGGACATGTGGCAGATATTCTGAAACCTGAACAAGCTAAATCAAGAAAAGCTCAGGAACAAAAGCGCCGCCAAGTCCACCGTCCAATCCAGGAGTCCCACCCGGATGACCACCTTGATGATGACCTTCCAGCTGGTAGGTATAACTCACCCCAAGGTCAAACCCAGCCTTGACCACAGGCTGACCACAGGCTGACCACACTTATAATAATTCCGACATACGGAAAAAGATGGAAGATAAAGCAGTTAAGTAAACAACTCTTGGCATTCACCATGCAGTTATACAGCGTTGATTCTATGCAGGGATGAACATTTTCTACGGGCCACAGATTTGATCACGTTGGGGTCATCGGGTCTGGCTTGGGAACCTATGGCCCCAACACCCCAGGCTCATTTTCCTCTTTTTTCACTCATACCCATTCTCATCCCTGTCGATGGAGCTGAGAATAAATAGCCCTTCATTGAAGAAAGGTTCTCAAAGACAACCAGTCTATAATACAGACAAACTTTATGGATAACAACTTCTTTATTTCGTCAGTGCAACGTTTCGATACAGATTCTTGTACCACAGTCAACCTTGACAACACTACAACAATCAGTATCGAAACGTCGCTCACACAAAATAAAGAAATTGTTATCTATAAAGTTTGTCTACATTTTATATCCCAACTTCTGAAGTGCCTTGGGGGCAAGGTGGGCGAGCTGTCTCAGGTGCTGCACTAGTAAGCGAAAGTTGCTTGGATCGATCCCCACTTGTGACTGGGTGTAAAAGCCTTGGAGCTAACATTACTTGCAGGCTCTTTCAGTGTTGTCACTACCCCTGTGCAGTACACAACCCTGTGCACTTAAACGAACCCACTCATCCGATGGTAGGTGACCAGATGGTGGACACACAAACACATGCTGACACCTAGTTGTGGGTATAGTAACATGCAGTATCATTGGACTAAATACTTTGACTATGTGTCCCAGTTCACTCAGCTGCAAAGGCTGTGTGATAACTCGCTGCGCCTAACAGTAACAGGCTGCATGAGCTGAATACTCCACGGTGAGTTGATTTGGTTAATAGAATGCCAGAGAAAACGACATCCGTTGATCAAGGGAACACTCAAGCGCCTTGAGCATGTACTAGTTGTGTGGATATGTGCGCTATATAAATATTAGGGCTGCGCAGTATAACCGGTATTTACCGGTTCAGACATGAAAACGATACGTATTGCGATACGCTGATCGAAAACCGGTATTTTGACAAGCATTCGGAAAACTTCTTCGTGACACTCGGAAATCTTCGGATATTGCCGGTTTTTTATAATTGTTCTTTTCCCTGTTTCATTAGTGCCAAATGTTACTTACATTTTTATTTTGTCATGATTAAAAGTTTTTTTGAAAGGTTAATCAATCATAGTGATTTTGTTGTGTTTTTGCTTTATAATCAAGCATTAACTAGATTTTAAGTAGTTTTTGTTAAAAAAAATAATCCATGCAATATATTGCAATACATATCGCAATATATGCTTCCGCATCGCAATATATCGCAATATGAAAATTCTCTGCAATACCCACCCCTAATAAATATCCTATCATCATCATCATCATCATCATCACTCATGTAGAACCAATATGACACATGGACAATATGCAATAGATAAGCTAACTGTCAATAAATAGACAAAATGCACACTGATTACAAGTGGCTAATGATATGTTTATTTGTTCAGTGTGGCCAGATGAGAATTACAACCCCCTGGTTGTGAAAGTTCAAGAGGCCAGCGGAGACCCCTACATGCTGAGTAATTTCAGGAAGTCTGCGGAACCCAGAAGTACGGTATGTTCCTTTTACAAACTCATCCCTGGAAACTGAAGCTCAATATCCTTTCAAAATATCCTGAAACATTTCTGAATGTCAAACTGTTGAGTACTGACTAAACTGAATTTACAGTCATAGCTCTTCTGTTTGTGGGTTCAAATCCCGGTTTGTCCTGATGTTTCTTGGTTTGTCTGTACCATGCCTGTGTTGGTGTCAGTAAAGTGGTTAAGGTAAACACACCTGCATCACTTCAGACCTCTTTCCCATGGGATGACATAATGGGATGTACATGGAATACTTCAAGGCAGTGTGTTTACAATTACACAATAATGCTAAAGACTTGTGTGTTTACAATTACACAATAATGCTAAAGACTTGTGTGTTGACAATCACACAATAATGCTAAAGACTTGTGTGTTTACAATCACACAATAATGCTAAAGACTTGTGTGTTTACAATCACACAATAATGCTAAAGGCTTGTGTGTTTACAATTACACAATAATGCTAAAGACTTGTGTGTTTACAATCACACAATAATGCTAAAGGCTTGTGTGTTTACAATTACACAATAATGCTAAAGACTTGTGTGTTTACAATTACACAATAATGCTAAAGACTTGTGTGTTTCCTTGTTGTTAAATGACACACTCAGCTCTATTAAGGCAGTTAATAATCAAGTCTGGATCAGACAATCTAGTGATTGACATCCTGCCTATTATTCAACACAGTTGGGATACAATGACATGCAAATAACAAAGTCAGTAAGCTTGACCAGCAGATTTAGTCTCTTCTTACAACCAGTGTAGGCACCTTTTTTTACCTGAAATCCGAACAGGGAGAAAATATATAGTGTAGATCTAGAGTGTAGTGCACACCTGTTCTATCTCTCGTCGGTACGATTTTGCGGCAAACAGACTATGATAAGTACCTGTCCTTCCTTCCTTCCTTCCTTTGGTATGACTTTGTGGCAAACAGACTATAGAATATATCTGTCCTTCCTTCGGTACAATTTTGCGGCAAACGGACAACAATATATACCCATTCATGTTCCTGGTTCAGTATGCAAAAGAGACAATGAAAGCTGTATGCCCATGCTATATAACAATGTAATTACTTACTAAGCTATATACAGAGATTCATAGCCTGACAGACCTGATAGAGGAATGGTATACATCTAGTTCAACAACAGTGTTTAATGTTATGTACAGTGTCAATATGTAGTTCTGGTATACATCTAGTTATACCACAGAGTTGTATATTGTAACGGTGTACAGTAGACATATGGGGCTGAGAGGGGAGGCATATATCTAGTTATACCACAGAGTTGTATATTGTTATGTACAGGTGTACAGTATACATATGGAGCTGAGAGGGGAGGCATATGTTTAGTTATACCACAGAGTTGTATATTGTTATGTACAGGTGTACAGTAGACATATGGAGCTGAGAGGGGAGGCATATATCTGGTTATACCACAGAGTTGTATATTGTTATGTACAGGTGTACAGTATACATATGGAGCTGAGAGGGGAGGCATATATCTGGTTATACCACAGAGTTGTATATTGTTATGTACAGGTGTACAGTATACATATGGAGCTGAGAGGGGAGGCATATATCTAGTTATACCACAGAGTTGTATATTGTTATGTACAGGTGTACAGTATACATATGGAGCTGAGAGGGGAGGCATATATCTGGTTATACCACAGAGTTGTATATTGTTATGTACAGGTGTACAGTATACATATGGAGCTGAGAGGGGAGGCATATATCTGGTTATACCACAGAGTTGTATATTGTTATGTACAGGTGTACAGTATACATATGGAGCTGAGAGGGGAGGCATATATCTAGTTATACCACAGAGTTGTATATTGTTACGTACAGGTGTACAGTATACATATTGGACTGAGAGGGGAGGCATATGTTTAGTATTACCACAGAGTTGTATATTGTTATGTACAGGTGTACAGTAGACATATGGAGCTGAGAGGGGAGGCATATATCTGGTTATGCCATAGAGTTGTATATTGATATGTATAGGTGTACAGTATACATATGGAGCTGAGAGGGGAGGCATATGTTTAGTTATACCACAGAGTTGTATATTGTTATGTACAGGTGTACAGTAGACATATGGAGCTGAGAGGGGAGGCATATATCTAGTTATACCACAGAGTTGTATATTGTTATGTACAGGTGTACAGTATACATATTGGACTGAGAGGGGAGGCATATATCTAGTTATACCACAGAGTTGTATATTGTTATGTACAGGTGTACAGTATACATATGGTGCTGAGAGGGGAGGCATATATCTAGTTATACCACAGAGTTGTATATTGTAACGGTGTACAGTAGACATATGGGGCTGAGAGGGGAGGCATATGTTGAGTATTACCACAGAGTTGTATATTGTTATGTACAGGTGTACAGTAGACATATGGAGCTGAGAGGGGAGGCATATATCTAGTTATACCACAGAGTTGTATATTGTTACATACAGGTGTACAGTATACATATGGAGCTGAGAGGGGAGGCATATATCTAGTTATACCACAGAGTTGTATATTGTTACGTACAGGTGTACAGTAGACATATGGAGCTGAGAGGGGAGGCATATATCTAGTTATACCACAGAGTTGTATATTGTTTCATACAGGTGTACAGTATACATATGGAGCTGAGAGGGGAGGCATATATCTAGTTATACCACAGAGTTGTATATTGTTACGTACAGGTGTACAGTAGACATATGGAGCTGAGAGGGGAGGCATATATCTAGTTATACCACAGAGTTGTATATTGTTACATACAGGTGTACAGTATACATATGGAGCTGAGAGGGGAGGCATATATCTTGTTATACCACAGAGTTGTATATTGTTACGTACAGGTGTACAGTATACATATGGTGCTGAGAGGGGAGGCATATATCTAGTTATACCACAGAGTTGTATATTGTTACATACAGGTGTACAGTATACATATTGGACTGAGAGGGTAGGCATATATCTGGTTATACCACAGAGTTGTATATTGATATGTATAGGTGTACAGTATACATATGGAGCTGAGAGGGGAGGCATACATCTAGTTATACCACAGAGTTGTATATTGATATGTATAGGTGTACAGTATACATATGGTGCTGAGAGGGGAGGCATATATCTAGTTATACCACAGAGTTGTATATTGTTATGTACAGGTGTACAGTATACATATTGGACTGAGAGGGGAGGCATATATCTAGTTATACCACAGAGTTGTATATTGTTACATACAAGTGTACAGTATACATATTGGACTGAGAGGGGAGGCATATATCTGGTTATACCACAGAGTTGTATATTGATATGTATAGGTGTACAGTATACATATGGAACTGAGAGGGGAGGCATACATCTAGTTATACCACAGAGTTGTATATTGATATGTATAGGTGTACAGTATACATATGGTGCTGAGAGGGGAGGCATATATCTAGTTATACCACAGAGTTGTATATTGTTATGTACAGGTGTACAGTATACATATTGGACTGAGAGGGGAGGCATATATCTAGTTATACCACAGAGTTGTATATTGTTACATACAGGTGTACAGTATACATATTGGACTGAGAGGGGAGGCATATATCTGGTTATACCACAGAGTTGTATATTGATATGTATAGGTGTACAGTATACATATGGAGCTGAGAGGGGAGGCATACATCTAGTTATACCACAGAGTTGTATATTGATATGTATAGGTGTACAGTATACATATGGTGCTGAGAGGGGAGGCATATATCTAGTTATACCACAGAGTTGTATATTGTTATGTACAGGTGTACAGTATACATATTGGACTGAGAGGGAGGCATATATCTAGTTATACCACAGAGTTGTATATTGTTACATACAGGTGTACAGTATACATATTGGACTGAGAGGGGGAGGCATATATCTGGTTATACCACAGAGTTGTATATTGATATGTATAGGTGTACAGTATACATATGGAGCTGAGAGGGGAGGCATACATCTAGTTATACCACAGAGTTGTATATTGTTATGTACAGGTGTACAGTATACATATTGGACTGAGAGGGGAGGCATATATCTAGTTATACCACAGAGTTGTATATTGTTATGTACAGGTGTACAGTATACATATTGGACTGAGAGGGGAGGCATATATCTAGTTATACCACAGAGTTGTATATTGTTACATACAGGTGTACAGTATACATATTGGACTGAGAGGGGAGGCATATATCTGGTTATACCACAGAGTTGTATATTGATATGTATAGGTGTACAGTATACATATGGAGCTGAGAGGGGAGGCATACATCTAGTTATACCACAGAGTTGTATATTGATATGTATAGGTGTACAGTATACATATGGTGCTGAGAGGGAGGCATATATCTAGTTATACCACAGAGTTGTATATTGTTATGTACAGGTGTACAGTATACATATTGGACTGAGAGGGGAGGCATATATCTAGTTATACCACAGAGTTGTATATTGTTATGTACAGGTGTACAGTATACATATTGGACTGAGAGGAGATGCATATGTTTAGTTATACCACAGAGTTGTATATTGTTACATACAGGTGTACAGTATACATATTGGACTGAGAGGAGATGCATATGTTTAGTTATACCACAGAGTTGTATATTGTTACGTACAGGTGTACAGTAGACATATGGAGCTGAGAGGGGAGGCATATATCTAGTTATACCACAGAGTTGTATATTGTTACGCATTACAGGTGTACAGTAGACATATGGAGCTGAGAGGGGAGGCATATATCTGGTTATACCACAGAGTTGTATATTGATATGTATAGGTGTACAGTAGACATATGGAGCTGATAGGGGAGGCATATATCTAGTTATACCACAGAGGTTTATATTGTTATGTACAGGTGTACAGTATACATATGGAGCTGAGAGGGGAGGCATATATCTGGTTATACCACAGAGTTGTATATTGTTATGTACAGGTGTACAG